CAGAATGTTGCAACTCCAAATCAGTCTAGAAATATTAATGTGTTATGCTTTGGATTCTATGCATGCAGATGAAGAAGAGAGTAGAAAAACAAGATCCTCAGGAGGTCTTGCTCAACTATCAAGCAGAAGTCCTGCAGCTGGTGCAATCATGCCAACATTTGATGTCCCACGCAGGGTAATGCCAAAATCAGCTAGAACATAGATACGCCCAATATTCTTCCAAGTGCATACTTGATTATCTAACAAAGAGTATATTAAATTTTGTCAGCATCTCCTTGCATGAGATTCATATAATGTTGGCATGTTTGCATGAGATTATTATAGTGTTTTTCAAACATTCATGCCAAATTCGGTTGGAAAGCTTTTCTATCATATTTTCATTTCGTGTTCTCATGATCTCTTCTTTAAAACCATACCTCAGGAGCTCATGCTCAGCTATTAAGTCCCTTAATTTCTGTATTATATTTTTCTCATCACCTCTTTTTGACTGCTTCTGAAAGTGCGTGTCTTCTTGGCTTTGATGGGGGAAAGTACTGCAATTTAAAGTGGTTTGTGATATCCTGCTCTGAAAAATCTTTCAAATTAATCATAAACATAAATGGTATGAGTCTTAATCTAGTGCCAGGTAAGTTGCTTGAGGAACATTGATGTGCCACTCTTTGAGGTCTTGAGGTTCCAATTGCTATTATGGGGAAATCATGACAAGCTGCTGCATTATTTAAATAGTGTTGCAGAATACTTCAAGCTTTTAAGCTGTTTGGATCCATAGGCATTATTGTGGATGGTTTCTTGCCCTTGCTCTAGTGCTGTCCTTTTGATATTCAATGATAGTGCAGGAAAAGGCTATGCTTTGTTTGGGTTTGCATAATAGTTTAATGACTTGTATTGAAAGTTCTTAGGTGCAATCTGGAAATGGTCATGATTGTGGTAATGAGACTGAACATGCCTTATGGTGTTCACCTTATGTACCTTGATGGGCTGTCAACGCTCAAATTTTCTCTTTGTAGAAAGAATCTACTGATTTTGAGTGAAAGTAGTGTCTATTGCAACCTTGTTATGCTTGCTTTAATGAAGAAACAAAGAAAGCAGTTGCTTCTCTCAAGTCTGGAAATTCTGGTTAACACCACATGCCTTAAAAAGAAGGTGCATGGATAAAATTTTGCACAGTAGAGCTGTTCACCATATGAACTCTCCTTTTGCCTTTCAAAGAAGTAGGAATATGTAACAGTACAGACTTTTGAACTTTTGAGTACATATCAAAATTCACCTAAAATGGCCTAGCAGCTGGGAACTAGTTGTTCTTATGATTCACTGTAAGAATTCATTTATATCAAGCAAATAAATATTTTGGGACCACCCGGTTTGATTGGATATTTCATATATGCTAGTTTGATTTTATTTTTTTTCTTGGAAAGATTGGGTTTTACAAGTTGTCAAATGCCATTACAGATGTACATGTAGTAGACAAATAAATATTTTGGGACCACCCGGTTTAGGGGTCCATTTGTGGGTGAGTGAACTATGGTTAAATATTAGATGAAGGGGTTCTTGTTAGCTTATTACTGACTATTTTTCTAATCATCACCCAAGACACTTCTGGGCTATATCATTGATTGAAAACTGCGTATCTTTCTGGCCAGTCATACAACTTTCTTTGCTTGACAAATTTTGGTGAGGATTATTGTCATCAGTTTATTTTCTGCATGTCCTCTCCAAATGGATGTGATTTCAAATCTCGAGGTTTGGTTGGCTCATCCGAGCATTCTGTTGTATTTGCTTACAGTATGCGTTACAGCTAGGCATATGCTTATTCCAATTTTGAAACCTGCCCTGATAGTTGAGACATTGCTAACATAAGAATTTCAATTTGCAGGAATTGTTGGATGCTTCGAAGCCTTTGACAGCATTCAGGTCATTTGACAACCCAAGGCATGAGATTGTGCGTGCTCCTGTTCGCAGTAAAAGCATGCTATCAGCTTTCTTTCTAAAACAGAAAACCCCGAAGTTGAAGGCTGGCTCTGCTTCGTGATTCCTAGGTGGAGCAAATTGAATGTTACCAGTAAATGTCTCCAATTGTTGTTGATAATGAGTTCTTTTCAGCTCACTACTTAGTCAATTTGTCAAAATTATATTTTCTTCCACTCCAATAATTCCCCTAGCTTGACTCTGATAATGGGAATGCTGTGCATAAAGATCCAGTGATGAATATAATCGAGATTGTCTACTGCCTGAACTTTTTGCCCCTGGCCTATGTTAATAAAGTTGGGTTCTGATGATGGTCGATGTCACAGTGCATTGTGTTACGTTGCTGAGATTGATAACACAAATTTACGTGATGTCAGATTGGTGGTGTTTGTGAATACGTTCCGTTTCGGATGTACTGACACTGATTTTTGGAAAATCTTGTCATTTGAAATTGCGAGTTAGTTTGTATGCATTTTGTCCATAGGATTAGCTTATTTACTGGTGTCTTTTCGATAATGTCACTTGAGCAAGTTATGCTGATATGTTATTATTTTTTAATTAATTTAGATGTCTAGACTGCGTTACAGGTCCTGAAATTAATAAACTATGTAAGCCGTCCATGTTCATCTGTTATTTTTGTTTATTTTTTATCGATGTTGTGGTTGTAGCAGCTACTGTCAACAACCTTGAATTTTAGGAAGAGGTGCCGAGGATAGCGGATAAATTGTGCAATTAGCAAGAAATGATGAATTAATATAGGGAAATAGTATAGTTTTGGATATCGCGGCGGTATTGTGGTTTAGAATCATAATATTTATTAAATATCATGTTGTCACTCACAACAAAAGGTAATCGCTATATCAGTTAATTGATGTTAGAGAATTGACTTGATAGAGTCTAATCATATTTTTCTCGTGGAAATTTGGGCCTTGCATAAATATACGCTTAGTACTAGTTTGTTTTGTCTGTCGATTTATATTAGACCCTGCTATTAGTGTTTCTAACCAGAGCGTGCAAAGCATACATCTGAACGTGATTTTTTATTGAATGGTTCCATTTACTTCATTTCTCTATATTTTTAAGTTGATGAGGCTTTGCAAAGTATGGAAGAAGAAGTTGAGTGTATTTACAAGGATGAGCGTGGAATGCTTCTTGATCCTGAAGCAACATCGACTAGAGATGCAATGTGAGAACTCGGTCTTTCCTTCCCTTTTGCATTCACACGGTTTGCCTTCTGTAGGCTTAATCTACCCTTCATATTTTGCCATTCTCCTCTGCTTCAAAGTTTAGTCTCCCAAGGTAATTTTTCTTGCTCCTCCTCCCTTAACTATCTCTTATCTCCATTCCATCACTGTCTTTTAACATATCCTCCTGACCTCCATAAGAATGATACCCATCATCATCATCGGTGTCATTGTTGTGATAATCATCATCGTCATCCAAAAAAGTAGACTCGGAATTAGAATAATGAGGGATGGGTCGGAAATGAGAGAGAAGGCAAATTTAAAGTTGAAGATTTGTACAGGAAAGGAAACTGAAAGAGATATTGGAGGGGACGAAGATAAAGTCCAGAATTTATATGAGAAAGCAAAGATACCGCATCAAAAAAATTCAAAGCAAAAATATAATTGTGAACTGTAATATAATTAAAATTTTAAAATGTTTTTTTAATTGTAATATCAATTAAAATGTTATAGATATAAAACATGATATCATTGAAATATTATGTTTTTTGACAGTAAGTTTTTTTTTTAAGTTTTTCAAAATGTATTATTCTCCTAAAATTTTTAAATTACTGTGGGTCATCTGTTAGCTTAGCGACGTGAGAAAATGAGGCCGTGAAGGCATTTGTTGCCCACAAGTAGTGGATGCCAGCGAAGATAAATATACTACGATATGCGTGTATGCCAGCCATTGTGAATCTGCTGATAATTCCGCGCAGTGCGGTGAGAAGTCATAAAGCATATCATAACTTATGTGGGACTTTTATTGTGCGTTTGTTGTTCAAAGAAAGACGGGGGGACCTTCAGATTCCTATCCTCCGGGGCTGAGGCTCGTCATGGCACGAGGAACTCTGACTGCAAAGCCAGGAAGGACCTCATGTACTTGCAATTCGCAGTCCATAGAGACTTGTGAGGCCCCAGAGGCTTGGCCCTAGTGAATTTCGCCACTGTCAGGTGTCAACAGCCTACAGCGTTGCCTAATATATTTTGATTTTCAAGAGAAAAGTCCATATTGCCATTTATAATTTTACGTTTTAAAAATATTTAATTTTTCTTTAATTTTATACTTTAAATTAATATTTCTTTTCAGATAATTTTAATACTGATATTAAAAATAATTTTTTTAAATTTAAAAAATAACCAACACTATACTATTATACAACCTTCAAATTAAACATCAGACTTCTCGATCTTTGCAAATTCTTCAACATGGCAGGCGACTAGCTGTGTATCACCAACTGGAAGTTGGAGCATTGCGAAAAACTGGACAAGAGACACTAATTAAGAGAAAAAAGGTCTCATTGATTGATTTGTGGATGCTGAATAGAAACAATTTGGCTCCACTCGGTTCAAAACTAGAATCATGAACTACAAGTTTATTAGAATCTTTTTTTTCTTATGTTTGTAAAAAAAAAAATATTTTAATAATTTTTTTTTTATTAACTCAACCTAGATGATACCCTATTTAATCAACCAAATAACTAGATGGGCTGAGCCATGTCTTATAACTATAATTCCAATAGTTTTGACAGTCTTCCTCCGTTTCCATAAGGTCATAAACACGCGTGAGCGAAGAGTTGAAAATCTTTAAATTTAAAAAATGCTTAAGATTGTTATTTTTTAAGTAGTTTTTGTTTAAAAATATATTAAAATAATTTTATTTTTATTTTTTATATTAGTATATTAAAATATTAAAATAATAGAAAAGTATTAATTTTTATAATTTTTATAAAATATTTTTTTAAAACACAATTTCAAACATACTTTTTATCTATTCAGCACCGTCAAACCCGAACCTGTTTCTGTTACCCTTGTGCTCGAAAATAACCCGACCCTTTGAACAAAAAGAGGAAAAAAAAAAAAAACCCATCATCCTCTGCTTCTCACATGTCACCGCCAAAATCACAGATCCAATCTCAAAAAACCCAGCAAAACCAAACTCCCAAGCTCATCTCCTCGCTTTTTCTTCCCCATCATCTCCCAATCCCATTAATTTATCACCATTATATGACACAGAAGCTAAGAAAATGCCAACATTTTTGCACCAAAGACCTCTCCACAGCCCACTCTCAGATCCCGACCCACTATCACCACGCCAATCTTTCTCCTCCCAAAGACAAATACCCCTCTTCAGCCGCACAGGTCTAATAGCCTTACTGTCCCTCCTCCTGATTCTTGGCGTAATTTTACCCTGGACAGGCACGCCCTCAATTTTCTCAGCAACAAAACCTGCCTCACTAACAAAATGGCAACAGTACACACTATCCCAAGCGGTGTCGTTTGTTGCAAAAAACAAGACAGTGATTGTTTGTGCGGTCAGCCAGCCTTACTTGCCATTTTTAAGTAACTGGTTGATTAGTATTTCGAGACAAAAGCATCAAGATAAGGTTCTTGTTATTGCTGAGGATTATGCTACTCTTTATAAGGTTAATGAGAAATGGCCTGGTCATGCTGTTCTCGTACCTCCTGCTCCTGATTCACAGACTGCACATAAGTTTGGTTCTCAGGTACTTGCTATTTTTAATTCTTTAATTCATTTATCTTCAATTAACTCTTATTTTCTTTGTCGCCGTTGTTGAATTGGCAATCATCGTTTGTGGCAAACGAAATTGCTATTTTAAGGATTCTGATTGATTTGGCTTGCTAATAGTTTACTTTATTTTGATAATCTGAAAAGACGATTCTGATTGGTTTCGTTGGATAGGGGTTTTTCAATTTCACATCCCGGAGGCCTAGGCACTTGCTGCACATTTTGGAGCTTGGAAAAAAAGGTCTCATTGATTGATTTGTGGATGCTGAATAGAAACAATTTGGCTCCACTCGGTTCAAAACTAGAATCATGAACTACAAGTTTATTAGAATCTTTTTTTTCTTATGTTTGTAAAAAAAAAAATATTTTAATAATTTTTTTTTTATTAACTCAACCTAGATGATACCCTATTTAATCAACCAAATAACTAGATGGGCTGAGCCATGTCTTATAACTATAATTCCAATAGTTTTGACAGTCTTCCTCCGTTTCCATAAGGTCATAAACACGCGTGAGCGAAGAGTTGAAAATCTTTAAATTTAAAAAATGCTTAAGATTGTTATTTTTTAAGTAGTTTTTGTTTAAAAATATATTAAAATAATTTTATTTTTATTTTTTATATTAGTATATTAAAATATTAAAATAATAGAAAAGTATTAATTTTTATAATTTTTATAAAATATTAATGTGATGTACAATGATGTGGATATGGTCTGGTTGCAAGATCCTTTCCCGTATTTGAAGGGAAACCACGATGTCTACTTCACCGATGACATGGCTGCGGTATGTATGCTAACCTGCTTGTACCTTTGATGTGTGGTATGAATGAACTCCTACCCTATTCTGGGACATGATTGCTGCATCGCACTCTTTGAAGCATTGTTGATTAACTTGTGTTTTGTTTCAAATGTCTTGATTTTCATATCAAATTCTAGTTTTTGTTTTGAGTGAGTTTGGCGTGTCGTGGCTGAAAATCACACCATGCAGTAACCTTATTTTACCTTGCCTTAGAACTCTCGAATCCTGTATCTTGTTCTCTTGCATTTTGACTCGTCTAGAGCTTGTTAATACTTGGTATTTAAGGTAAAACTTCACCATTCGATATCCTTTTGTGGCCATGAACTGGCTGTCTGTGGATCGTTTCCCTACTAAGTTTAACTCCATTTCTAGTGATATTGGTGGCGGATATGTCATTTTTCTTTTTACTATTTTGTTATCAGCTTTATGCATCCCTTCGCACCATTCCACTTGATTATAAGCAATTCGGTATTTATATGGTTAGTGAGAACCTAAAATCAAGTAAATGAAACCTGTCCTTAGACTGTAAGCTTGTTTTTATGCGGTGGGGTGGTTTCAGCAATCTTTGGAATAAATACTATATGTAATGCCCTTTTCGTTTGCATTACCAGGTGAAGCCGCTGGGCCATTCCCACGATTTACCACCCCCGGGAAAGAAGGGGCGCACTTATATATGTAGCTGCATGATTTTCATGCACCCCACTGATGGAGCAAAACTAGTTTTGAAGAAATGGATTGAGGAACTTCAAGCTCAGCCTTGGTCCAAAACAAAGAAATCCAATGATCAGCCTGCTTTTAATTGGGCATTGAACAAAACAGCTGGACAGGTTTGTGCTGACCATTGAACAAAACAGCTGGACAGGTTTGTGCATCCACATTTTTAGTGCATCCACATTCCACAAACAGGATTATTGGATTTCACTTTTCCTTTTTTCTGATATAATTAATTCTGCTTAAGGTATTGAAAACATGTGGACAGTGCTTTGGCTATCGAGGCTCGAGCCTGAAGGATAACATTTTAAATTTATGAACTAAAAATGTAAAATGAGTTCAAATTTGTACCCAGTAGACAAATAGTAGATTTATTCCCCCTAGGTTTTCCATACGTTTCATGGTGCATCAATTGAGTTGTGATGTCTGTATATTCATGACATGTCCACAGGTGGATCTGTATCTTCTGCCCCAGGCAGCATTCCCAACAGGAGGATTATACTTCAAGAATCAGACATGGGTGCAAGAAACTAAGGGGAAGCATGTTATCATTCACAACAATTACATCACAGGTTTTGAGAAGAAGATAAAGCGTTTCCATGATTATGGTCTCTGGTTGGTGGATGGTCATGCTAGTGAATCCCCACTTGGTAAATTATAATGAATCAAAAGACCATGTTAGTTTTGTCTGCGTGGCTAATCACATTCTTTCAGAACCCTGGATGAAATGTCAGCTATTGTTCATGGAATCACATATAGAATATGGATGATTAGAAACTCTAGTTTTTTTCCTTTTCTTTTCCTCGTGCTTTATTTCCTTATAATAGCAATGCATTAACTCAAGGGTGGATTGCTTTGGAAATGGCTTGGTTGATATCCTTTCTAACAGATTGAATTCAATTCACATAGACAGTGCAAAAAGCAAAGGAAATGGCTTTGTTCATATTCTTTCTCCCATGGATGGAATTCCTTTCACGCAGGAAGTGCAGAAGCCCACGAGTAGTCTGTTGAATCAATTGGATTTCTGGTTCATATTTGACCCACCTTTTTGTGGTCAAGCCGAGGAACTATTTGCTTAAAATTTTATGCAAACACAATTTTTCCCTGCATTACAAAATCAATCATGTCTTCAGAAATCTTCACCAGTGAAATTATTGATATCATCTGTGAAGTTCGCAGTCTCATGTGCTCCCTCCCAGCTCTGTGAATGAAAGCATTGGTGATGCTCGATTAGTGGTTTAGGGCATCAATGCGCCAACTTTCTCAGGCAGTTAACAGTCTTGCGCAACAAGGTAATGCCAAATGAAGTCAAGCTAATAACTTGCATTAATAGAGTAGATGAGGCATTAGTGGTGAGAGCTGCCACATGTCAAGGAGTTAAACAAGTGGTAGTAAAATGTTTCCTCCCTCGGGAGCGTACTGCAAGTAATTTGATTTCTTTCCCTTTATTTGCATAAAAATTTGGAGTCAAACTAGCTACAGCTTAGAGGAGGAGGCAGTATCAAAGAAGTGTCGGTGAGGAATACACTGCGTAAAATAAACGTTCAATTATTGAAACCTGGGTGTGGCCCCTCATTTGATTGACATCAGGCAGGCATGGTGAACAAATTTCTGAATTCGATTCGGGCAAGCAAGTGGGTCTTCGGAATTAAAATAAAAATAAAAATTGTGAAGTGGTAGCGAGGAAAAATATTTAATAAAAATAAAAATAAAAATAAACACTTAGCGAGGAAAAATATTTAATAAAAATAAACACAGGTAGATTCTAGTTAGATATATTAATTTTATGTATATTAATTATTGATTAGCATGTAAAGAAAAAAAATATGGTTTCTCCATGAGTTGCTTCTGATGGAGAGGTTTCTAGCGTGAGCTTCTTCAGTAGTTATAGTTATTAGTACCTTTTTTTTACAAGAAGAATCAAATGAAATTAAAATCGGACAAAATTGGTTTATATATACACATCAATCAATACACTGAAACGGAAAGCAGACAAAACTGAGAGAGATAAGACTGAATAGACTGCCAAATCACCGTAAATTCAAGCAAATATATATTGCCTTACTGTTTTTTGTGCTTGTGCACATCATTGAGATGTTCATCTCCACCACGCTTCCTTGTCTGGAATCACCGATCACTGCAGTTCGGGTTTTGTTTGTTTTTAAATACAAAAAAATTAGTATTTTATAATTAAATTTTGTGTATAATTAAAAACCTCATCCTCAATCACATGAATAAACACAGCTTTATTGAAGCGATTGGTGATCTTGACATAAATGTTTTGTGTTCAATGTCATTGCCAATACTTTTCATTCCTGGCCATCAGCAAATTTATTAGTTTTCAATTGTCAACGGTGATTATGACATTAATTTGAATAGAGATTTGTATCATTGTGCACATAGGAAGTTGAACTGTTTACTATAGATGTCAAACACCATACAAAAGCAACTAGGTCTACAAATTCAAATGTGACGATAATTATTTTTAATATATATATATATATATATAAATTTATTTTCTATATCATTATATTAAAAAAATTTAAATAAAAAATTGAATTTCAATCAATTTCTGTTTGGGCAGCACTCCAAAACAAGTGTTTTTTTAAAATGATCAGCACCGGAATCATGATGTATTTTTTTTTATCATTAAAAGTAGTATTTTTATTATTCATGTATTTTTTGACCCTTTTTTTATTACTAATATTTTTTAATTAAAAGTAAAGAAAATTAAAATATTTTTATTAAAAATTTCAATAATTTAAAATAAATAGGAAAAAATATTTTTAAAAAAATTAAATTAAATTTTCTTATTAATACTTTTTTTAACAAAAACATATTTTTTTATTAAAAATATTATCTTTTAAATAAAACTCGAATGCGAGATTGATTATGATGAAGAAAAACAATTTTTTAATTGATTATTGATTCAAAGGGTATTTGAAAATGTGCAAGAATTGTCTTTTTTTAAGTATTTTTTTACTTAAAAATATATTAAAATATTTTTTATTTTTAAAAATTATTTTTAATATTAGAAATTCAAAATATAAAAAAATAATTTTAAAAAATTTTCCCAACCTTGATTTGGAACTTCAAAATATAAAAAAATAATTTTTAAAAATTTTCCCAACCTTGATTTGGAAGGCAATACCAGACAAGGGCTTAATTAAACCTATTAACATAACAAACCGGGTCCTCTTAACAATTCAGGAAAATAAAAACTTACTGATGAAGGAATTTGAAGGCAGAAAAAATGTCTTGAAAGACAAGAGAATGAAGATTATTGGGTTGCTTGTTACAGGATTCTCTCATTAAATGAAGTTAAGCTCCTTACAAGTTACAGGGTAATGGTGGGTTCATGTTAAGGCCTCTTTGTAACCAAGATTTTGGTATCTTTCCATTAGGTTTGACATTTTTTGGGATTATGATGCAAAAAGATGAGAGCAAAGACATAATTTTGGGAGGGAAAAGTTTTAAGCAGCTGGTAATAATAAGAGTTGAAGATAACCAACGTTCAAACTTTCACTTTTGATTCATATTTCTTGACTTATTTTTCATAACAGTGATCGAAAAATACAGAAATAATTTAATTTAAAGTAAATAAATAAATACTATTTTTAAAACATAAAATAAACTATTTCTATAAAGTGATGTCAGCAGGAGATCAAATTTGAAAGGGAACTTGAAAGGGTTTGGTGAAGCTTGTCAATAGCACAGATAATTCCCACAAAACCACTGTCGCAATCTCAACAGAGTACTTAGATTTGAGACAGAATAAGAAATCAGGGTTCTTTCTGAACTTCAATGTGTGTTTTCAAAAAAGAAGAAGAAGATAGAAAATATAATTTGGAGAGAGAGATATTATGCATTGAAGAAAGATGATTTAAGTTAGCCTTTTCCGTGGTTTAGCTTTGGGAGAGGCTGCTCGTATTGTTATATAAATAAAATAAAATAATTTAATATGTGTGGGTGTGTGTATATATTAAAAAGTTTCTTACCGATTTCTTAGCTGTGTGAATCACTGTAAGAACAGGACACGAAAATACCCTTCAAAATCCAATAAAAGAAAGAAACTCCCCGAATTGACCTCTCTCTCTCTCTCGCTACCTCCTCTCTTCACTAATTACTCAACTCACAAGCATCTTGCAATCACTCCACTTTGCCTTTGGCCTTGCTTCCCCCACCTTTCAACATCACAACGATTAGCTTATATGCATGTCTGTCCTGAGAGGCAAAGGATTGATTTTTTTTATGGAACTCTAAATGGGTTCATTAGAGAGTGGAGGAATCTCCTTCAAAAGAGACAGCAACAATCTTATTCGTTCTCATTCAGCTGGTAGAACTGAAAGAAACCCTTTTTTGTATAGACCCAGATCGAGACTTTCTCGTTTCTTGCTTTTCAAGAAGTTAGATTACATTCAATGGATTTGTACTGTTGCTGTTTTTCTCTTCTTTGTAGTTCTATTTCAGATGTTTTTGCCTGGTTCTGTTGTGGAGAAATCTGAACTAGGCTCTTCTCCATGGAGAGGAATGGAGCTGGTTAATAAGGATTTGTTGTATTTGAAGGAGATTGGTGGGTTAGATTTTGGTGAAGATATCAAGTTCGAACCTTCGAAGATATTACAAAAGTTTCAAAATGAGAACAGAGAGATGAATATGCCATTTACTAACGGGACATTAAGTCGTTTTCCTTATAGGAAACCGCAGCTTGCATTGGTTAGTTTCCGCTACTATTTGCTATAATCCATTGCTGTTCCTTTTTGTTATTTTTCTGCGGGGTTGACTTGTGGTCTAATTATGTTTTCTAATTCAGGTGTTTGCGGATCTGTTGGTTGATCCACAGCAACTGTTAATGGTGACTGTTGCTACTGCATTGCAAGAGATTGGCTACACAATTCATGTATGTATTTTGGTGCTTCAATTTTTAATGCCGATTGTTTGGTGAAAAGAAAAAAGCGAACTGTTCGAGCAACAATTGTGCATCTTTCTTTCTTTCTTTTTTTTTTAGTTTTTTAAGTGCTTGTGGTTCTCCATTAAGTTGTATAAGAATTTGTTAGATTAATGATATTTCATTCTTCTTGGCATCAAATTCTTGCAATTTGTTTGGCAGGTTTATACACTACAAGATGGTCCTGTGCAAAACATTTGGAAGAGCATGGGAATTCCGGTTACCATCATTCAAATTAGCCACAAACTTGAAATTGCTGTTGATTGGCTAAAGTATGCATGGCATTCTACTGCATTTTTGAAACATGATGAGCTTTTAATTATCATCTTTTTTTGAAAAAAAAAATATTGAGCATGGTTTGTGTCATTGAATTTAAAGGCTTTTGGTTGCATTGAATTTTGACGTATCCTTTTGCAGCTATGATGGCATACTTGTGAATTCTCTTGAAACAAGGAGTGTCATCTCTTGGTAAGATATATTACCATCTTTTCTCCCAAATAATAGATGTATCTCCAAAATTATGGTTTGACTCAAACTCTTTCTTTTATCCATTTCTCTGTTTCAATCATTCTATTTGTATGGGCAATCCTAAGTGATTAGTCTTTCATTAGCAGTGAATTAGGATAAACCTATTTAGTATTGTAATGATTTGAGGATGCTATCTTTACCCAGGAATCTTAAATTGTCCCTATGCCCAAGACTTGACAGCCTGTGCAAATTAAAATGCTCAGTGTGCTGAATGTGATGGAACACAATTTTGTTACTTCGTTCTAGTTGAAATGTATATATGAGGATAAAACCTTTCAGTAACTTAGTTAATTTATGTGAGACGCTACTTGTCTGAGTCAAGTAACATGATTGATTTCACTTCACCAGTTTTATGCAGGAACCTTTTAAGCCTGTGCCTCTTATATGGACCATCCATGAAAGAGCACTTGCTATTCGTTCAAGACAGTACACTTCAAGTTGGCAAATTGAGCTTCTGAATGATTGGA